ACAGATGAATTTTTATTTGGTAAGCAAAGAAACTTACTGTAGAAATATTCCTTGGACCAATATTCCCTCTTTTTTGTTTTTAGTCTGGCTTCAAGATTTTTTTCTTGTCTTTGATTTTCTGTACTTTAAACATATGTCTAGGTATAGATTTTTTTATATTCTGCTTATTTTTCTCTCAGCTTCCAGGATCTGTGATATGGTATCTTTCATCAATTTTGAAAAATTATCAGCCATGCTATATAAAATATTTCTTCAGTTCCTTTCTATTCTTCTCCTTCTGATGTCCCCATTGTGCACATGTTATACCTTTCATCATTGTCCCACAATTCTTGGATATTCTATTCTTGTTTTTTCATTCTTCTTTTCTCTTTACATTTCAGTTTTGGAAGTTTGTGTTGACTTATCTTCAAGCTCACTGGTTCTTTCCTCAGTCATATGTGGTTGCATCCAGAGACTATCAAAGGCATTCTTCGTCTCTGTTACAGTATATTTCATTTCTAACATTTCCTTTTGAGTCTTTCTAAGAGTGTTGTCATGCAGTAGGCTCACTGCCTGAGGTGCATAGAAGCCAATATTACTATGGCCCTGGCTTTTGAGGAAAGTATAAGCTTTATCGTGAGTCAACTGACAAGGAGAAACGAGGCAACATTCAAATCTGTCTCCCCAAGCTGTGGTCTGGGGCAGGTTTTATAGGCAGAGAGTAACAACGACAGAGAGAGAAAATGCAATGAGGGGTGATCTGATTGGGTCATGCAAAGGGGCCGTGCTGGGTCCTGGGCTCTTAAGTCCCTATTGCAGCAAAACAGGGCACCCCTTGCTGCTTAATTGGGTCCTAGTTCCTCTATCCAAATACTTAGGTTCCACCTGTGGTTGACTTTTTTGTTCCAGTTGGCTGAAATTAAGGTTTGGTTCATCTGGGCATGCTCAGGTTATGTTACTTGCAACATGGGGGTCCTTTGCAACTGGAAAACAACTTCATCACTTTGTAACGATTTGTTACTGACAAAGTTGAACCAGAGTGGACTGGTTCTGCAATTACAAATTTCAGTCTCTATTTATATTACCCACATGGTCTTGCATGTTGTCCATTTTTGGAGTCCTTAGCATATTATTTATAGTTGATAGCTTTCAACAAAAATTAAAAGGCATGCTAAAAAGCCAAAAATAGAGTCTGAAGAGACAAAGCAAGCTATAGAACTAGACTCCGATATCGCAGAGATTTTGGAATTATTGGACTGGAAATTTAAAGTAACTATAAATAATATGCTAAGGACTCTACAAAAAAGTCAGCCACAGGTGGAACCTAAACTCCTGGGCTCAAACGATCCCCCCTGCCTCAGCCTCCTGAATACAGGTGCATACCACCGCACCTGACTAATTTTTCTGTTTTTTGGTAGAGACAGGGTCTTGCTCCTGCTGAGGCTGGTCTGGAACTACTGACCTCAAGGGATCCTCCCATCTCATCCTCCCAAAGTGCTAGGATCACAGGCATGAGCCACCGTGCCTGGCCAAAGAGCAAACTCTTAAATTCCTTCTTAAAGTTACACCTTTTCCTATGTTGGAAGCGCTATGGAAAACTCAAAGGAAAATACAAAAATAAAAGAGAAATAGGTCCCAGACTAAGGGGCTCTCTCCTCTTAGTAAAGGAGATAATATTTACCTAACAAAATCTCTATCTCTAACTCTGATCTCTTTCTAAATCCTCAATTTCCAACCCTTTGTTAGTGGTATAGTTGGGATCAGAACTTAATCTTCCGAGTCCCAGTTCAAAGCCCTTGACAATATTTTATGCTTTTTCCTCCTAATGTATCAAAATTCTGTCAAAGGTTTCATATACCTTATTTTTAGGAAATTTCATGCTGGTTCACAGTAGTCACAGTTTTAAGCACGTACACAGTGATCACCGAGAATATAAAAGATTTCCAGGAAGTCATATTCAACCTTATGTATAGAATTTGTGAAATGTGCAAACAAATTTTTATTTCTTTATCTAAAGTTTTTATTGCTATAATTGTCAAATAGCCTATGGACAACTTGATATTACACTGGTAGGTGTAAGAATAACACTTGAAGAAACACTTATCTAGACTTCTGGTTTCTGGTCCAACACATAAAGAGCTTTAAAGTCATCACTCCTGTCCTAACAACAAGAAAAAAGCTAAACAAACTGAAAATCATCAACTCTTCTTAGAACCATCAGAGAATTGAGGTCACAGGGAAATTTGTTACCCTGAAAAGTAGAAGCTAAGGCAGATACCGAGGATCACTAGTTCACCAGAAGCAGAAGCCTGCTGATGGACTGATGGAGCCAGTAGAGTTAGGAATACTTAAACTATTATATAATTGACCAATTGCCAGAGGTTCATTGTAGACTAGCTTAAATTAAAACTCCTGTAGCCCAGTCATAAGGGAAGGGGGGATGGACACACTTGCCTATGTTTTAGGTACAGGGTCCCCACTAGGATCTCAGGGTGAAGACTGGAGAGAAAAAAAAAAACAAAATCCAGCTTCCAGCAGGAAAAGGAGAAAAGGGGGGAGGGGTGGTAAAGCTGAGAAGAACTTGTTAAGGTCCAAGCCCAGAGCCCAGGGACACAGATTCACTAAAACACTGAGACCTAATCACAGGAGCACAGAATGCTTCCCCTCTCCCCATACCTCGTCACCACATCAGTTAGGCTCCTGTATGATAACTGTACAGTACAACTAAAAGCTCAGACCTTATTTAAGAAGTCTCTAAGGAAACCCAAAGACATAGGGGAAATAAAAACAAGGACACTAGAGGGTATTTTAGCTTCAGCAAACAATAAACACAGCCTAACTCCTAGCCAGATAAACATAAAACCTCACACAAAAGCCTATTTACTACAGTTTCTTTTACTCTATACATCTTATGTTTGTAACTATATAGTATGATCCTTGAAAGACTGCATAGTATTTGCTCGTTTAATTTTTTTGAACGAATGAAAATTTATTCATTTCACCATAAGTGCTTTTACATTGTTGAGCAGGAATGAGTTAGCCCGCTAGAGCAGTATTCTAACCTTTTTTCTATAGTGCAAAATCTCCATGTTACATGTATTTGTCTATTCATAAGAAAGTGGAAGATAGTTAAAATGTCAGCAAGTGTTTTATTTCATGTTCAAACAGAAAAGTTAATCCGTGAAAATCAAATGTTGAGATTAAATTATTCCTTACTTAAAAAAAAATATGTACTGTAAAGTGTTTAGCCATCTCTTCATGTTTGATTATAGGCAATACAAGGACCTGTGGAATATGAGTGATGACAAACCCTTTCTGTGCACTGCGCCTGGATGTGGCCAGGTAACATATAAATTACTTTAAATCATTTTTGTATATTCCCACTTATTACAACACTGATGACTGAAT